ATATATATATATATCCTCGAACAGCATTGCCGATTGTATCTAGTTTATAAGTTGTAGCTTATTCTGATGCTCTCGAGTGGTACAAAAGGGGTTGGAATAGAACAAAGCTTTTACTATTCCAACAAGGACCTTCTAAGGGGTGCTTTTTTTCTTGCTCTTTCACGTCGCAGAGTACATATCGCAACAGCGGAAGTCAACGGAGGGGTCGCTCGCAGGGGTGATAAATCTTCGCTAGAGTTGTTTTATTGACTTTCAAGTGTAAAAACGATCTTGGACGTATTTTGTTTCAATTTCGCAAGTAATTTCGGGTGGCCAACACAAGATGGATACGTCAATGTTCGTTATAATAATCGTTCGGTAAGTGTAAACGAATGTTATTTTTCAACCGCGGTGGTGAAAAACTTTCACAGCCAAGACGTCTTACAACGCTTGACCAACACTTTTATGTATGATAATCCAAATGAAAAATCCCCCGGAGCCCCTTTTCCCGATGCGCGTCGCTCAGTCGGTCGCATCCGGGGAAATTTTTCACTCGAGCGTAACATTTTTCCGGAGATCGGCTAAAAAGGCCGCGGGAAGAATACAAAGATGATGCAAGAGAGCATCTTAAAAAAGGAGGGGAGGGGGGCCTTGGCAAATGTGTATCGAGATTTCACTGAATCGGAAACTGAGAAAGGAGCGAGGAGGCGAGGATCCGGGTACCCCGAATGCACATTTATTTCCCAAGCTCACGTATTTTCTCTTGCGGGGGAAAAAATTCCGTGGCACGCGACGGGGAAAAATCTCCCAAACCGCGCATAAATTCGCCTCGCTGAATCGAAGTTCGAGAGATCTCGGTACGCATCTTTTTTTTCCCCCACAAAGCTCCGGGCGTTGGTGTAAGCCACAATCGGTTATCGCGGATACCCATAGAGCAATTACTCCCGAGGCTTTTTTCCTAAACGCAGCGTATACTCCATGAAACTCCCCGAGTATCCAAACTCGAGTTATCGAGTTTGGAGACCCCTTACGCGAACCCACGCACGAGGAGGGCCCACGAGCATCTGTGGCTACAGAGTATACTCACGCACGTGCGAGAGTGCATAATCCACGGGAGCAGGTTAGAAGCAGGTTGTGGGGCTAACGAGAATCCAAGCACTCGCTCATTTCGTGAAGCTCGAGCGGTAGAAGCTTTCGAGAGGCTATTCAAACTTCGACGCAAGTTCCTCCCGTTAGAGCTTCTCCTGATCGCGTGATATTCTCTCCCGTAATGAGGTAAAAATTGTAATGACCCATGCTACGGAGGCACTGTATACTTGCGTGGCGAGCTTTGGATTTTTTTTTAAATTTACCATTACCTTACTCGATACTTAGTACTGGAAGAAAAGGGCAATATTTTTTCATGGCGGGTACTCCAACGTAATTTGCCAGCATTCGAATTTAGGTTTGCTGTCAAGAAATTGAAAAAAAAAAAAAAAAAAAGGCATCATTAAAATGTAAGTGCTCCTCTCTGCTCGAAGCCAAAGCTCGTCAGCGTGAAAAAATATCGGACAAAGATCTCATTAGCCGATCTGTATCTTTGCTTGCCGCATCTTACATCAACGTGTCCTCGGAGAAAAACATAATGGTTAATAATATCGGCTTGGGGTAGCCTTCGAAACCTCATTTAGTGAGAAGGGAAAAAAAGTCACGAGGAAGTTGTGGTATCTTTCGCTGGGACCGAAATACTCGTACAAACAGTGGATCCCACAAACTTTTCCAATATGCGACGGTTCAAATTGCAAGAGCTGGGGCACACGTGCGGTGTAAATTAGAAGTATATGTATACAGATACGTGGGTACTGTGTGTACTTACCGGACACGGTGAGGTGAACTGTCCTTATTAGGACAGGGTGGACGTTAACTTGGCACTCGTAGATACCAGAGTCGCGTTCAGTTGCCGAACTAAGCCGCAGCCGCCAGTTATTCGGGATTTCGGCGTCGAGGGAGAAACGGGAGTCCATCGAGTACGTCTGCCTGCCGATCGTGAGCAGAATGAGCTCGTTGTCGCGTCTCCTCATCCACGAAACCTGAGCAAACATTCGATTTTAGTTTAAAACTTTGAGCAAAAGTTTTTTTTTTTTTTTTTTAATCATGTATTTTTATAAGGGTTGTTTTTTTACCGAGACAGAGCCCATGTCTCAAAAGATGGTTTCAATCAAAAAAATTGTTTTGCGATATGATTATTTTAGTAAGTCACAAAGAAGACATGTTAAAAATTAAGTCGAGAATCTCTTTAGTTAATACTATTTACTTACTAAAGAGAGTGATCTCGCCCTCATGTCCCTCGAGTTTTTTTTAATGGAATAATTTTTACTACTGAATCACTGATGAGTCAAAACATTTACAATTCATTAATAGTTTTTCCTTTCTTTAAATTCAGGGACAGAATTTTAATGATAACCAGCGCTACGTTAATGTATACTAGTAGCATTATCTACAAACTTTTTGATCATATTTTACACTGGGTCAAAATGTTATATATTCAGCCCATATAGTCTAATGAGGCTTACCAGACTCTTAGAGATGGTAAATTCAACTAATTTTTAAAATAATGCGTTTCTTTTTTTCAGAAATCTCATCTGTTAAAAATTCGAACACGCATGAGCAGTACTAAAATGTACTTGTAGAGATTTTTTCGAGAATACGACAAAACCTCGCACAGCAAATTCATAGTCCTGCATACACATACTACACCTTGACATGTTTAATGGAAAAAAAAAAACAAAAAGTTTCACGAGTTGATCATTGATTTTACCCGTGTATGAAAAAGTCCAAGATGGTTGACATAAAAAAAAAAGAAAAAAAAATTACCAACAAGATACAGCCATAGATCAGCTGAAACGACGCAAGTGCACGCGGTACACGTGAGAAGAGCGAGACGAAGGCCGAAGAAAATTGAGTTACGAGGTAATATATTTTTCAATAAAACTCTACGCTTTGATGGACATTCCCCGCGGGAGGTACGGGAGCTCCGAGTCGCGAATCGCGTACGCGTTGGCCATGCAAATCCTCGCCACAAAAAAATATATATACGTACTACTGCGTGACGCGTATTCGGTACAGGGCGATACTCGACGAAGACGATATTCCCCCGGATTTGTTTCGAATTACAAGACCATGTGCTAACTCGCTCGTATTTTATTGCCCCACGAGGGTGTTATGTTCGCCTGAAATGGAAAACCACATTTCTCACGGTCTCGTGGATTAATTTTCCATGCCCTCCGATTTATTTTTATTCATCGCATAAACGTAAGCGCGAGAAAAAATGAAAAATCAATTCATGCGCACGAAATACACACGCTCCCTTCTCCCCGGTCCCAAGGATCCGCTTGGCCATTCGGTTTGTTTGAAAATTCATAAATAAACATGGGAAAAAGAAAAAAATTCCATACCCCGCTTTGGCTTTGACACCCGGCTGGCTGTGTCGTATCCTTTGAAGAGCCGCGAAATATATTGCCTGCGTGTGGCTGCGGGTGGAAAGATACTCTGCGGAGTTTCATATACGCGTTAAAAAGAGGGGAAGAATCAAATTGAAGAAGGAAGGGGAGAAAATGTGAAGAAAAAAACGATATAACGAAGCAGCACGTCACATATGTATGTATAGAGGGGCGTTTCAAAGTTACCAAAAGCGACGGAGGGGACGAAAAAGTTTAAGTATCGTTAGCCAACTCTCTCTCTCTCTTTGCCCTCTTCCGACGTTTTGCGACAGACACTCGCTCCGTCTTCCTCCGGCCGCCCGAGTTACTTTAACCCCGTCAGGCTTCGAAAGACAGAGCCGGGCACTGGTGGACAAGTACTGCAGTCATTAGTCATTATTATGAGGTGCTCGACGGCTCTTGCAATCTCGAAGTTTAACGCGCGACTTTGCGCCGCGTGGCTGTACTCGTTATCAACGTTTCTTGGTTTTTTACATGCACACAATACGGGAAAGAAAAATATTTCCAAGTTGGCTAATTAGTTGTTGACGAACGTGGCTAATTGCGCGTTCGTCAACTTTTGATGACCAAGCGACTCGAGGTGACAGAAATATCAACTTTTGCAAAGAAAATTATTCAGGCCACGTGCAAACTTTCTTTAGCTCGAAGTACTTATTTGGAGCGTGTGATCGAAATCGCGACAATTTCCTCAAAAAATCCCTAATTGTACACAAAAGTTGGCTTTAATTGAAAGTTGAGCGATGACAAATTTATTTTAATACACGATTGGACAAAATTGTAATCTATACTTTTTTAAACGTGTAATGGTTCTTTTTTTTATTTTTGCTTTTCTTGTAGAAAAGTTTTAATATTTATATAAAACCCCTAGGCAATTCAAAGCAGCATTTTCAAAGTTTAATTGAATGGAAGTATTTTAGATATGTAACAGAAAAATTAAGTTTTAAGGCGTTTGAGTTTGCAATGATTGGATGCACAGCGTCTTTTCATCTTATTAAATTTAATTCACTTGATCAGTTTTTTGCGCTAAGGGGTGAAAAAACTTTGAGACTTAACTAAAAATGAAAGTTAAAAAAATAATTTTGGAAATAAATGAAATTTAATGTTTTTATTGATTAAAAAAAATATGCATGTTAGAAATTACAGATTGAAAAAAAAATAATAGAAACGAGTGGTGAGATGGAATTTCATGCCAATTGATTGAAAGTGGTTTTTTATTTGGTTTAAGAAACAGCGAATTCAAATATATTTGGAAACTCGTGATGGACTCGTGGCAGTTTGCCAAAGTCGTACAAATCTTCGCAACTGCGGTAATAAAAAAAGTTTATGCCTAGGGTTGAAAAAAAAAGAAAAAAAATATTCACGCATCACAACTAATGCTGTATAGGTGAATAAAAAATTATTTCCTTTCAAGATTCATTTTTATACACAATTTAACTATTGTATCAAATAAAAAGTTGTACAAATATTTCCTCATCGACCGTGTGGGTCCTTATTTTTTCGTATAGTCTCATGCATTTACTACGCAAAGTGTAAAAAGCTGACAGAAAATACGAGCTTTGGCACTAAAAACTTTACTTACCTTTTATTAATTTATTTATTCATTTTTTTTTTTTTTTTATTTTTCGACAAATAAAAGTGTAGAACAGAAGATAATGCTCAAGATAATGTTTGTACTTTAAAAATAAAATGCTGTAAAAAAAATGAAATTTCGCATAAATCTACTCATACTTTTAGAAGTAATTCTTGGAAGCGATAACGAGCTCGTTATAAAAATTTGAGCTGCCTAGTAAAATACAAATAACTACCACGCAAACGCATAAAAAAAGTCGAGAGTTGTAGTTTTCGCTACCATTTCGGTGCGTTAATTTTTTTTAATTTTTTTGCGATCTTGACTTAAAAAGTTTCACAGCTTCTGTAAAAGACTTTAAATGGCGGATAAAATCTTATTTGGATTTTATTCAAACACGAGATCTTATCATGCAGGTACAACATAAAACTACACGTACGTCCAAATTAAAAAAAAAAAATCACAGTTTTTGATCTAAAATTAATTGTTAAAGTTGAAAAATCGTTTTAATTTTGATTACTTTTTCGTAGTATAAAAAAAAAAAAAAAAAAAAAAAAAAAAAAAAAAAAAAAAAAAAAAAAAAAAAAAAAAAAAAAGTAGTAAATTAGTCAACTTTAAAGCAGTTAATCGCCCTTTCATCAGCAATAACGCTCTGACTTTGAAAGTGGTCAAAAAGGTCGCTCGCGTCAAAAACGCGGGGCACATGTTCTTCCTGCTCTTTGGCGGAAGGGAGAGGAGCAAAAAGCAGGCAAAAACAAAAAGAACGAGAAAAAGGAGGGAGGAGGAGGAGTAGTAAAGGGAGCTAACCGTACGTATACGCACCATCCCTCTCGCGAAATCGAAAATTGTTAAGCCAGTGGTAGGGAGGCGGCACCCGCGGCCGTAAATTACCCCAGAGGAGAGGCCCAGAGTCTTTCCACCGGACTGCTCGAGAGCAGTCAGATTTATTACCCACCGAAATTCTTTCTGCTACCCCCACCCACCCTATACCTCGCTCTTTCGTTCCCACTTGGCCATCTTACGTATAACGGTACACTCGACCCTTGCCACCCCCGCTTTTCCCTACGCCACGCGGGCAAATGGCTCGTAAATTAATTCCCCGGCAGCCTGCTGTTGCCGCTCCTCTGCTTACACCCAAAGCCAATCGATTAATCCGACCGTCGCTGCTTGCTACGCCGCCTCTGACTTCTCCTGCTGTTAGGGGTAAAAAGCACGAATAAGGAAGGCTGATTCATCTCTGTAACGAAAGAGGTTACATCGCGCCGCGGGCCCTCGGAGATTTTCCGACGACGCGCTCTCACTCTCTGACTTCTTTTTCAACGGTCCTTTTTACCGTAGGATAAAAAATACAAGCGTTTTAAAGAAAAAGTTCCCTCTTCCAACTCTGCACTGCATCGCCAAACCAAAAGCGGGCCGCTAATAAGGTCCACCGCCGCTTTCTTTCGACTCTATCGCACCAAGACTCGCGACCGTTGGTACTTTGGTGCCAAAAGTGAGGCAAACTGGCAGGGAAGCATAGGAAACAGCGATTTCACTCGCGCGTGTCAGCTTTTTGATGGCAGACAAAGAGAGAGTCCGGTCTTTTTGCCCAAGGCTGCGAGTAGTCGAGGTACTACTGAAATATCTCGGTATGCTCGGCGGGCTGACCAAATACTGATTTTTCTACTGGTTAATTAAAAATTTCTCGAATTTCCGCGCGTTTCGAGAGTCTTCTCGGGGGTTTCGCGGTATTTCGATGAACACGGTGGACTCGAGAGACGGAAATTGGATGGAAAACGCGACGTGGCAAAAGGTCGAGGCACAAAGGCGGTTAAGAGAATGAAACCAGCACGAAAAGCGAGCGAGAGGGGGATGATAAAACAGATGAAAGAGGAGGAGCGACAACGCGCTCATAACGCGGTGCACGGCCCAGGCGCCGAAATTACGAGCCACCGAGGTCTTGATGAAAGCTCTGGTCTCTCGCGAAATGTTTGCTGGTCCCCCCCCGCTATGTTGCGACTACTTTGGCAAGAGCCAGGAAGGA